ATAATATAAATATATACACATATAAATCATATATATATAATTAGTTCATTCATATAGCGCCAATTCACAACACGTCATCTCAAGGCGATTTACAGTTCACCACATCATACAGTCAAATTGATTCACAGTTTTCTATCGAAGGACAATCAGTTGATTGCATCGACTCGTTGACTCGTGTGCAACCCCTCACACTAAGCGTGCTTGTAGCAACAGTGGAGAGGAAAAACTCCCTTTTAACAGGAAGGAACCTGCAGCAGAACCAGGCTCAGTGTGAGACTGGGGTTCAAGGAGACAGAAGCAGAGATACAAAAAGCAACTTTAAAAGACGGTGTGTGTGCATATATAAATATATATATATATATATATATATATATATATATATATATATATATATATATATATATATATAATATAGTATAATATATAGCTTAAACTTTATTTCATAATAATTCTACTTATAGTTGGTAATTATTATAAGTGACTCTTTGAATTGTTAATTACCATTGATTTATGTTGGCCCTCCAGGTGTGCCTGCAGGTGACCTGTGTAACCTGTATACCTGATCCCCCTCCTTCATTCCCGGTGTTGCAACTGGAAATATTCTGAACGGCATTTTACAAGAATAAAAGCAGTAAGGATTGGTACCGTTGCTATGAATACAAACAAACCTCGCTGTGCCTCTCACTCTATGCCTTTAGACTGAGGCCTGCCTCCTCCTCCTCCCCCGCCCCCTCTCTCTAATGTTTTTCCTGCGCTGTTGCCTGGGCAACCAGAAGGCGTTTCCCAGTAATAAAGGGATAACACTCTCACGCTGCTTCCTCACTCAGCTCAGACTGCCGCCGGTCCCTGCACGGCAACAGGCGGGAGGGATTTCCCTGCTCGTCGCCTCTCTGTCTTCCCCATTCAAAACAGCCTCCAATCAGTCACAACTAGCAACTTTTTTTTTTTTTCTCCTCTTATTTCCACAGGCGCGCCCATCTATCAGCAGTCTGCTCCGAAGCCAAAGTGCGGCGCAGAAACTTTAAAGCATCTCTAACAGGAGGATTTTATTTGATTTTGATCAGAGTGCAGTGAAAGGAAGAATTAGGACTACGCACACAGATTCCAACTGATGAGGTGAAAGTTTTTCCCATAACATTGCCTGATCATCGGTTGAAGGAGCCTGTAATCCTGCAGTATCGTTTCTGGGGGAATTTACGCTGTTTTCTGTCATTTCAGGCAGCCTCCAAATGACGTCGAGATGGCTTGTGGCACGCTTCTCCCATCTATTTCCACGTTTGCCAGCGGTCCAACTGACAAGAGCAGATCTATAGGAGGTGCCTATTTGGTGAGTATAACCCACTGAAATCCAGATATACTTTTTTTTTTTTAATTCTCTATTTAAAGTATGTTTATTTTTTGATGTAGCTCCCATGTTATTACTGCAGGCAAGGCTTGATTCTGCTGGGGCGTGCACCAGTTTATACAGACTACTCGACATTCAAACTAGGAAAGCCCACATGGCTTCTAGCAAATCTCCTAGAAAGAACATTATCATGCATTAAATGCATGAAAAGCTCCTATTAGGTATCTGAACTTGTTTGCTTTTATTATTTATTTTCCTTTTAAATGCTTTCAAAGCCAGTTCTAGTATTTCAGGCAATGTACATTCCATTGATCTTTCCTCCACCTGACTGAGCTGTGTTTCTGAGCTTTATTACCCTCCATTACATTCTTTATTGAATTAAACTTGTCTTTGAGCCTATTTTTTTTTTGTTTAACTTGATTTCGATACATGTGTATTCATCCACAAAGCATGTATAAGTTTCTTTAATTAGTGGTAACTTGATAGAAACAAGCTCCTTATCTGGTTTCTGTAACTTATCTCTAGAAATGGAAGGAGGAGTTGTCCCATCTTAAGAGATCCGGTGTGCCAGAGAGAACCAGCTGCTGCGACCCAGACCACCCTACTGCCACCAGCATTGCAAGCACCAGCATGTCCAAGAAGGATACCGAGCCCGATCTTGACTTGGACTATGATTTTATTCTATCCAACTCCATCCTGCAGCAGCAGCAGCAACAACAACAACAACAGCAGGAGGAGGCCATGGGATGCAGCTCTGCTCAGGCCATGTCTTCTTCTCCAGGTTCCTTTACCTCGTCTTACCAGCTACCCTCACCTCAAGACAGCAGCGAGCTGCTCTACACCATCCCAGACATTAACGATGTTTCACCCTCAGGAGGTTTCGTGGCAGAACTCATGAGGCCCGATTTGGACCCAGCATACCTCCACCTATCTAGCCTTCATGGCAAGTTTGTCGTCAAGACAACAATGGACATGGGAGAGTACAGCCAAAGCATGAACATTGGCAAGGCGTGCGTGGTTACAGCGGCGGAGTCCGCTCCGACGCGGGTCTCACCGTCCTTCGTGTGCAGCCGGATAAAGCAGGAGAACCCCAGTAACTGCACCATCTCACAGCCCATGGACCTACATCTGGCAGGGGTGAACTCTCATGGTCGTGCCAGTCAGCAACAGCGTCCCAGCAACTTGGATCTTCATGGGTTTCCAGGCAATGGGAGGCCAGTGACGGGCACTAGGTTATCGTCATCCTCTTCCCTTTCTCCAGACAACCCTCTGAGTCGGGAGCACCAGCTGGGACACCCTCTCTCTCAGATCCCTCTACCTCCACAGGGGTACCACCATGGTACCTCTCAGGGCTTCTCTTCCTACCCTCAGGGGTCCTCCATGCAGTACCAAGGTGATTGGAACGCGACTCTTTACCATGTTGGATACTTTGAACAGTCAATTCAGCTTAGAATTTTCCTATACAATACATTCAATGTTAGTGAAGTGGGGCACTTTCACAGTAGGTTGGTAATACTGACTGCACAAGTGGATGTCTATTACTAAGATGTTTATTCTTCCATAGTTTGATATTAAAGTTTCGGAGAGCTTATGTTGACCATTTTTCTCACTTCAGAGGGCCTAATCATCTCCAGCGGGGAGTGTTTGCCTGAGGAGCCAAAGCCCAAACGAGGTCGGCGCTCCTGGCCGAGAAAAAGGGTGGCGACTCACACGTGCGACTACGTCGGCTGTGGGAAAACGTACACAAAGAGCTCCCACCTGAAAGCACACCACCGCACACACACAGGTAGAGCTCTCTTTACTGTTCGTCTTCTTCTGTTGCCTTTTCTATTATGAGGCATGTGCATTGAAGCCTCCTTCATTTATCACAGTCATTTTGTTATCTAGAGCTATTCAGCTTAGAACTTTCATTGTGGATTTTTGAAAAACAGCCGCACCACATCACTTGCATGTTGTTGAACAAACATGTTCATAGAAGGGTGGGGGATGGAGTAGGGGAGTTGCTTGTCAGGTGCAGCAGAACAGGTTGACACTGATCCCTACTCAAATACGAGTGTAAGGCCTTTTACAGAAGAGCTGCAGGACAGGATGGACCTCTTTTCTTGCTGGGCTACTTTCCCCTAAAGGTTGGTGTTAACTGCTCTGTGTGTGATATTTTCTTTCTTTTATTGCAGGGGAGAAGCCATACCACTGCGACTGGGAGGGCTGCGGGTGGAAGTTTGCACGTTCTGATGAGCTCACTCGCCACTACCGGAAACACACGGGTCATCGGCCGTTCCAGTGCCAGAAATGCGACCGAGCCTTTTCCAGGTCGGACCACCTAGCTCTGCACATGAAGAGACACTTATGAGATGAGGACAAAACGACAAAGGCTGAAGGCTCTCTGATACACGTTTGAAGAATCCTGATCAAACACTTTTTGTTACCAAAACTTGCCTTTAAGCTGATGTCGGGCAACAAGACACGCCGTGGTGTTCATGGCACAAAGAAAAAACATTACTCCTTTAAAAGCGTCTCTCATGTTGTGCAGGTGATCTGACAAGGCCTCTCAGCCAAGGTTGTAAAACTTTATTAAGGGACCAAAACTGGAATTTGTCTTATTTAACCGACAAAACTTGGTGGACCAGGTGCCAGCGGCTTTTAACTGGAAAATTCAGGGAAACCAGGAGCAACAGACAAAACATCTCCAGAGGCCTTCTAGCAGCGAGCAACATGCCATTGCAGAATCTACTCCTAATACACACTGTTAAAAACAAACTGTATTAATAAACACAAAGATATTTATCGTCCCATTTCACCTGCAAAAGCCATTTATTTTCAGGTACAATTTAATATATACAGAATGGTGCTGAGTAACACGGAAGGTTTCTTTAAGGAATAAAAAGGTACCAAAGATGATATAAAGTCAATAAAAAAGGGTGAAGTGAGGGAGGCGGGGGGGCAGTGCCATACAGTTGTGTTTTCTTCCAAAAAGTTTGACTTCAGGTGAACACTTTTAAACAGCGATGGCAATCTACAACGCACTGCAGCTGCAAAGTGCAATAATTTATATGAAACATTCATATTTTTGTATTGAATGAGTAACTCTGAACAAAGATTTTGATTTTGTTTATAGCCAAAAATATGTAATATAATGTTGAACTTTGTACATTTGTACATAAAAATGTTTTGTTATTGTTTTGTATTTTACACTATAATGAAATAAAATGTATTTGAACTAAGAAAATGGAGCTGTATACTTTAACAGAAAGCTGTGTTTTCTTGAGGGGAAAATTTAGTTCTTTATATGTTGCAACACTAAGGGGAGCATATGTGAATGGCAGAAGTTGCTCATCACATAGCATATGGTCCCATATCATGATGAGATTGCTGCAGACAGAGTATCACCATTTAGGAATTTTATAAAACACAAATCCCTCCTATAACATCCGGTTTTATGCATTTTTTCTTCACCTGTCAGAGAAAAGAAAGAAAAAATAAAATCTAGAGGTGACACCAGGTCTGATAGCCCTTCTGTGATGAGACGACGAGTAAGAACTAAACCAAAAAGTAGACAAAATTTCTTATTCCTGCGCTGCTCTTCGCAGAACCAGCTATTTGAAAGAAATACCAATATTAGCACTTGGATGAAAAAAATGTAACTCTGTTTGCCCCTCTAGAGTGTCATTATGACTCAGCGACATTTGTTTTAATTTAGTTCAGCTGTTATGGAGGAATTCAGCTTGTAGCAGGGCTGATTCAACTTAAGTTTTCTTTCAAATTGTTTTAAACATACAGGAACTTTACTAGATATAAATGATTCAAAATGAAAGTACTTAAAACCAGTCTAAGAATAACCCAAAGATTAAGTGTAAATAGCTAAATAATTTAGGAATGATTTCTCAAAGGCAAATGAGTCTATTCCCTAATGGTTCATATTATTATGATCAGAATAAGCAACTCATACTCAAAGATTGAGTGGTATAAAACTAATATGACGAATTTTTGTAGGGATATAGTGGTTTGGAAAAGATAGCGTATCTTTGTTTTTAACCCGTTTCCTTTTTTATTTTGTATTTCAATTAATTTTTTAGCGTTAAATTATATTTTTCAAGTATAATGTAAAGAACCTTACGGTTAGCTTGAGCTGAAAGAAAAAATCATATATAAATGAAAGTTTCTTAGAAATATTTTTACCATCTCAGACCACAATAAGGGCAGTCTTTATATTTTGCTGTTCAAATAGCAAACAGACTAAATCTTAAAAACTGTATTAGTCTCTGAAAATTAATATGCTGCATAAGTTATAAAACCCCAAAAAACAGGAATGAATTAAATATAAATATACAAGAATTAAACTGTGAGAAAATATATATTAAAAAAAGTAAAACAGAAATGTTTAATCTTTTTACATTAAACATTAACATATAAATTTGGGGTGAGTTGCAACATTAATGCCAATGTTAAACATAGCCTATTTCGTGGTCCACATCGCCCTCTGCAGGTTTATTCAGGTACATCATCCATATTCTTTGAACCCACGGAACTCAGTTTAAAAGAAGATGAAAATGTGGCGATTTGCTTTTGTAAAAAAAAAAATTTTTAATGGTGGAAAAATAAGTAATGACAGAAAAACTGTGACACAAGTGCTACTTGTTTGGTTCCAATTTTAATCTTTTTTCAAGGAGCCAATGAATACTGCAATGACCTTTGAGATTTAACCCTTTATATCAGCAAACAGTTGCTTTTAAGTAATAAAACAAAAGGCACATGGGAAACATCTGATGCAAAAGTCTTGGATTTTAATTATTACTCCATTTTAAGTTGTTAACAACAGCTTGTCCAAGTACAGCAGGCACCAACCGAGGATTATCCAGTGTCATTGTGAAACTTTGATTTGGAACTGGTGAATAAAACACTTTGGAAAAAGGCTTTTTTGCATATATACTGAACACGAGCAAAGAGACAGTGGAGGAAGATGGTGGAAAACAAGAAGGTGCTCCTTCAATCGTCAAGGTTCTGTGATAAAAGGAAGTTGGCAGCCAAGTTCTCGTTCTTATCGCAGGCGAAGTAGGCTTGGATGACAAGTCCTTCTGGAAAACCCAAGGCTTTTAGCTGCATGAAAAGCAAAACATGCTCAATTAGTTTAGAACCATCATGTTGTTCAATTGAGGATCAAGTGGTTGACCATTAAACTGTAAGATATAGCAGAAACTGGTTCCAGATTGCCATGCTCCAGCTCACCCTCTCAATAGCTTCTTTCTCCTGTGGTGTGACCTGGATGTAGCTCGTCTGACCCCCACCAGGTGTACCACCTCCCATTCCTCCAGCTCCTCCACCTCCACCTGCTGCTGGCACTGGGTCTGGATTGGGCTCATTCAGCATCTGAATAAACTGTTCTTGGTGGCTGCTGATCTCCTGTAGCCGTGAACGAGAAACTTAGCTAAAGCTAAGTGTTGCAAAATAAAACGTAGAACTAAGATGCAGCAGTATGGAAGAATTTTATGTGACAAGAAATGACTCAGGGTAGTTCAAACTCTAGTTATCAATTATCTGCATATACAAAGTGAGAGAAACTATGTTTTAGAAGAAGTGCTTCAGTTCCATAAGTTTACAAGACCAAGCATGTTCTATATGCTAGTGATTCCAAAAATTTCTAAAAGTAGAATGGGAGGCAGATCTTTTAGTTATCAGGCTCCTCTCCTGTGGAACCAACAACCTGTTTTAGTCTTTGAGGCAGAAATCCTGTCTATTTTTAAGGGTAGCCTTAAAACTTTCCTTTTTGAGCTTATAGTTAGTGTGGCTCAGGTTATTCTGAGCTATCTTTATACTTATACTGCTAGAGTCTAATTCTGCTGGAGGACATAGGGACCCTTTTTATCATCCTGTTTCATTCTATCTCTATTCTCCCACTCTGAGAAAAAGCAAAAAGAGCATAACATTAGATATTAAACTAATAAATTCTGCAAAGTAGCTTCATCTGATCTATTACTGTTTGGCTGTGACACCATCCTGAAGCGAAATATCTCTTCATCCTCTGATGTTGGAGCTGGCTCGGAGCTCGTCTGCCTGGCTGTGTGTTTCCTGGACGGGGCCGCCTGCAGAGCCTGTTGACATTTGCCTTTTGTATCTCTACTTCTTTCTGTATGTCTGCTTGAAGTTGGTCTCGGCTTATTGCCGCTCACACTGAGCCTGGTTCTGCTGGAGGTTTCTTATTATTAAAAGGGTAGTTTCTTTCCTCTCCACCTTCGCTACAAGCATGCTTGGCGTGAGGGATTTCCTTCGAGTCTGAGCTGATGCAATCAGCTGGTTTTCCTTAGATAGAAAACTTTGAACCAATCTGACTTTATGATCTGATTGAATTGTCTTTGTAAAGTGTCTTGAGATGACACGTGTTGTGAATTGGTGCCAAATAAATAAACTGAACTGAACTGAAAATAGAACATACGCTGAAATAAATCTCTGAGTACTGACATACATGTTCTTTGGTATTTGATTTGTCTTCAACTCTTAAGCATTAACTGCATGCTTTACATTTTAACATTACAATTTTAAATTCTGATATTTTTCATTAAATACAGCCTAAAAAATAATTGTCATACCTGTGCACTAAACAGGTCTGGTATTTCTGGAGTACAAACAGAAGCTGCATAACACTGATTGCAGGCTTACAGCCTGTAAATGGGGAGTAAAGTTGGTTAAAATAAATTAATGTAATATTATTCAGATTTTATTTCTCAAAAAACACTTGATAATTTCTCACAGCTTTGTGTTAGTGTATCACATAACATCCTGTCCAAATAAAATAAAATTAATGAGTCATTTAAAGGGTTCCTTAGTGCATGGCTGCCTTTTGATGGCAATGCACTATAATTTAATGCTAGACTTGTGAATTTATTAGAAGTAAAGTGGCCTTGTGTTGGAACTCCCTTCTAAAAATAAAGTGTTTTTTTTTTGAGGAACTTCATTATATTTTTGTTGCAGCACTTCCTCACCTGCAGCAGCTCTGGGTTCTCCCTGCCGATCTCCTGCAGCAACGTTGGGAGAAGAGCAGGATTCTGCTGAATCAGCTGTCGCATCACCTGGAACTGTGGCTGACTTCTCAGGAAGCTCAAGGGATTGGCTGGAAGTACAGGTTAAAACTATGAGCAGCAGGAAAGAAGAAAACTGGCAAAGGATCCTAAAATAAATGTCTAATTTAGTGCAACTTTTGGGAATCAGGGCGTTTCATTTACCCCCTGCTGCAGGACTTGGTGACGATCCAGTGTTGGCAGGAGCACTAACACCTCCAGAGGGAGCGGCTGGAGCTCCACTTGATGGAGGCGCCACGGTGTCAGGGCCTGCAGCTGGACCTTGATCTCTGGTTGGCATTCCCTGTAGGAGGAGGTAGGACTTACGCTGGTTAGTAAATCAACAGGAGGGACGCTTTTTGATGCAGTTAAAAAACTTATTAAAATAGAATTTAATGCACTTTTTGAAAACTTTCTTTTGAATCATTTACTTTACTTTTGTAAAATATTTTCCAGCAAGATTTTCAGGCATTCATTAAAAGGAAGATCAACATAAAGAGCTTCTAAACCCCCTTCCAGAAACTTATTCTGCCCACATCTAATATTTGAAAAAAATATCTAAAAAAATGTTAAATTGAATTTAAAAGAAATAAACTGATAGACTGACTGAAATTGATATAATATTGATAAAAAGATCACTATTCGAACTCACTAGTCTTGTACAAGATGGAGCTGTTTTTAACCCCCCAGGGACAGAGCTAGTAATGTCAATTTTTTTTTGCAAGCTGAATTGTAGCTTTCAGTCTCATAAGAAATCCATCTTGAAAATCTCCCGCAAATACCTCCATGTCCGAACCACCAGCGAGTCGGACCAATGAAATGCCAGCAGTCTTTTTTGGGGCGGGATATGTAGGAAAGACGACAGTCAGTAGGGTCTTGCCGGAGCATTACATACATGGCTACTCTGGAGGACTCACCTGTCGATAGCGCAATTTACTCAGTATTGGCTAAATTACAGCAATTTCTCATTTTAAAAAAGGAGCAAAGAGAAGCACTTTGTGCATTTATAGATGGGGTACGATGTCTGTGCTTTTCTTCTGACAGGATTTGGAAAAAGTTTGATTTATCAGCTTACTCTACTAGTTGTGAAAATAGCTGCAGATAAATCACACTGCTACGATTGGCTGAAGGCATATTATGGAAGGCAGGTATCAGTTGGCACGTCACCCAATCAGCTCAAAGTATTCTACTAAATGTCCCTCCTTTTCACAGACTGACTGAACGGCAGCCATCCCAGGTTGATAACTTAGAATTCATTTCAGTTCTACACATATCAATCTGGCTCCTGCCAGGTTACTTTTGACCAATTACAAATCGACTGATGCAGGTTTAAGCCACTACTAGTTATTCTGACAGTCTGACCAATCCCAGTATGTGCTGCCAATTTCTTCCTGCGCCGATTCTGTGAGCCGAAATTTCTTATTTCCCCATTTTCATGATAAAAATGACACAATAAAAATATATTTTTTTTATTTAATAAAACTTTAAAATGAAAAGCAAATGAAGGGAATGACGATGTATAAGCTTCCCAGATGGCTGCTGAACACATTAATAAATTGGCGAACCAATTAGGGCTGGAACAACTAATCATTAAATGACTATTTAAATAATCATCAAGTAATTAAGTAATTGATTGTTAACTGTAGTTTGCTGAATCTAACAGAAGCCATTAGCTGACAAAGTGACCCCCTCATAACAGTAATTATGAAATAAAAAAAACAAACAAAAAAAAAAACATAATTTTCACTGAAGATGAAAAATCTTTTTGGTCCATAAATAAGTTATGACCAAAAGTTTAAGGTTCACCTGGTTTAAATTCTGTATAAAATCTTCTTTCAGGCACCTTTTGCTATGCGACTATTGATCTAAAAAATAACAACTTATTTTTTTGTTGTTTTTACGGCATTAGTGGCTTGTTTTTTAACAGTAGGCTGACAGGAAGGGGGTATGAGGGAGGGGAGAGACATGCAGCAAAAAACCACAGGTTGGATTCGAAACGGGTCGGCCGTGATGAGGACTAAGGCCCCCGTGCATGGGTTGTGTGCTCTGACCACTGCCCCACCGAAGTATGGTCAACTTATCGATTAGATTGCAGCCTGCATGCATGCATCTGCCAATGATAATACGATAAAAAAACACTAAAAGCAGCCAGATTTATTATCAATCTACTTCTATAAATAATGATCATTAACTTTAAATTCAATAAACTCACTATGTTGAAGAAGGGTGCCACACAGATGGTTTGAGATCAAAAGCAGGATTAAAAAAAATTCTGCAGCAGATTGTAAATATAAGGTTTGTAGGCAGCATTAAAGACGTCAATATAAACAGGTTATTACAAAAAAATTAGGATTTTCTTGCTCTCAAAGCTGCATTGACAAAATTACATCGTTTTGTCCCTGCAGCCCAGTCTTGGAGGTTCTTACTGCTAGTTTTAGAAAACATTTGGTAAGAGAACTTTTGTCTCTCAATAATTATGTTGTACAAATGGTCAGGATTTCTTCTGGCATTGATAAACAGAAAAAATGGAGACGCTTTTCCCCTTTAGTTTTATGATCAAACGTTTTTTCAGGTGCAGAAACCCACACTGTTATGTAATAAACAGTTTAAGGATAATCCGGGGAAAATATCAATATTTGTATGAAACATCTTCTAAGTAATATAAAGCACCCCACCCCACTTTTCACACCCCAGGTAATTTCCTCCCAAAGCAGATCTAGTGCAGCCACAGCACTCCTCATACCGAGAGCAGGTATTCCATAGCTCTGTCTGGGTTGTTGAAGCTCACTCTCAGAGCGGCCACCACTTCTTCCCTCCCATAGCCCAGCAGCATCATCTCGTTCACCATGGCATCATACGACGAACCCGTCACTGAAGGAATAAGAACACAGACTTCAATAAAACAGCTAATCTTTAACAGTCATAATACCGTCTCATTACTTGGTCTTTATGCAAAATTTAGGAAAGTTAACAAACAAAACAAGAAGAAACACATTTTTTTTTACAACATATATAAAGTCATTCCGAATAAAGAGACTTAAAAAAAAAGACTGTTTTATAGAAAAAAGTGAGCAGCACACAGCAGCAGTTCTTAAGAGCAGCACTCAGCCTTTTAAAATATTTGCGAAGTAAAGTACAAGACCAGTGGTGAAAAATACTTTAAATCCGAAAGAGCATCTGGTTAAGAGGAAGATTTTTCACAAGGACGAAGAGTGCACAATTCCAAGCAGCCTCAGATCCAAGGCTACACCTCCTGGATTCTGCACCGCTAACTGCTCATCATCTGCAGCAACATGAAGCAACATCATCTGCTTCAAGTAAATAAGCCTCTTTTTAGATGATGTTTGCATGTCAGCGAAAACAGATACTAATTTGTAAAGACACAGATTCCCAGATAGCAGGCAGCAGTAGCAGTTGAAATGTGAACAGTGCCAATCCGTAAGTAAGAGACATTGTGAGGAGTTGGAAATAGTTAGCTTTGTGAAAACCTATCTGCAAAGAGTACACCTCGAGTTCATGCACATGTGCAAGTATGTAGGGGTCCTCAGGACATGTAGACATAAAATCATTATTATTAGAACAGCGAGGATCATTACAGATGCAGTCTTACCGAGAGTTGAAACTGCTTCGTTGATTAAGTTTGAGCTTGAAGTCTCAGAGCTCCTACAAAAGCAAAGAAAATTAAAGTTTCATTAAATTTCTCTACAACATCAGGCAGTTGAGTGCCTGACCAATCCTTACTCTCTAGTGCCACTGGTTGTGGAGGATGGCTCAGTCGTCGGAGCTGGTTTCTCCTCTGCTTTGGCCTCAGGCTTGTTTTCAGAGGACACCGGCTCTGCCGGTTTGTCTGAACTGGATGAAGCTGCAGGAGCTGTGGTGCTGGGAGCAGAAGTAGTCGATGAGGTTGGCGTGGTGGTTGGCGCAGTTTTGGGCTGGGGGAAAAAAAGGAAATAAAAGTTACAGGCTGTAAAATATCCCAGTCAAACACAAGATTGTTTACACAACCCTACCTATAACTCAAAGTATTATTTCACATCATTATACTGCTTCTAAATGACCCTAAGAAGGTATCTGAAAAAGTCATCACACACTCAAAACTGTTCTCCTCAGGTGGATTCCCAGTATTATATAATCCAATCCAATCCAATCCACTTTATTTATATAGCACGGTTTAAATAAACACAAGGTTTCCAAAGTGCTGCACAAAAAGATACAGGAATCTACCTGAAGGATTAAAAAGATAAAACACTGTAAATCCCAAACCTTTGTCACCATGACCACCACAAAGTTCTTCTCATCAATGTTGTACTCTTTAAGAGCCGTGTCATCGCTTAAGATTTTACCTGTAAAAAAAAAAAAAAAGAAACCCATGACTTTTTTATTGAAAAAAAAAGAAACAGCAAACTACTTTATTATTGACTAAACTTTTTCTGCATTGACTATCAACAATGTGTATAAATAATATCTAGGGATCCAAATTTTAAAATGTACATATAATTATAAAATGCAACAGATATTTTTTTTTAGAAAATGTGTAAAAATATTTGAAAATATGCATCATTTATTTCAAGTAGCTTACTTAAAGCTGATTAACCTTTTACCTAATGCTAATAAGCTATAGTTCTCCCAAACAGTGGGGTTAGACCTCTTTCCACTAAATCAATCAGCTCATAATACATGAATTTTATAAACACAGAAAACAAACATTAACTGGTACCTCTAGTTATGATGTGGGAAAAACCTTAATATGGGTACTGAGATCAAAGATGGACTTTATCCTGCATGCGGTCCTTTTTTTTAAAGAAAAAAGACAGCATGCAGTGAAGTACTTCTTGCTGTTGCAGCATACAGAGGAAGCCATCTTTGTCCAGTTTTTCTAGATCAGTGGCTCTCAACCTTTTTGAGTCACGACCCCCAATTTTAACATAACCCCCCATGCCCGATTATTATAATAATATGTTACATTAACATAATCAGACAAGCCTTAACTCACTTCAGCTATTAATCTCTTTATCTTTTTAGGGATTTTTTTTGAAAAACATGAAGCAGTATCAAGAGGCTAAGCTTCCAAACAGACCGGCAGAGTCGCAACATCCGATTGTTTTGCTGTTAAAATGTGAACTAATAAGGTCAACTTTTAAGTCTTTATAATAAAATGATAAAAGCATGTTCTAAAATTTAATATAACACACTGGAATATATCTCATCCTTAATTTCCAACATATATGCTTCCAAGAGCTTAAAAATGACAAAAGGCAAGAAATGACACGTACAGTAGATATCACTCAACTCTAAGGAGTTGTGATCTGTATTTGTTTTCCATGTATGTCAGCGAGAATACGTCTTCTGGAACAGATATTTGGATGCAAAATGGAAAAAAGTACATCAGCTGCAGCTTTTGACAGTGCTGCTAGTGACAACCACAACTCATCCTGTGTTGATGCGGAGAAAGCAATCAGTAATGTGCGATCAGAGGAGAGATGGAGTGGGCCGTCCTGCAGTCCGGATGTCAGATGATGCACGGTGAAGGAGATGAAAGGCTGGAGTATCCAACCGTACTTTTTCTGGCGTGCATTATTCAGGAAATGTTTACTGAAACTTTCAAGCAGGCTCCTGAGGTGAGAGGCAATAATGTCTTTCATAGTTTGAATGTTTATATCATAACTCTCAATAAAGTGTTCAAGCTGCTGGGACATTTCAACCCTTCCCCATCCACTCGCACAACCCACCGCTCCTGCTTTCTCTAAATCCTGCGACCTTATCAGAGAGAATTTGGACATCTGTGTTTGAGCCTTGTAGGGACAAGTTTAAGCCGTTTAGTTTGTTAAAAATGCTGGCTAAATATGCTAGGCTCACAAACAACTTTGGATCTATTCAATAAGGGGAGAATTACAGTCTGATAACAATATGCAGACCTCCTAACGTAGTTCCAAGAGCCTCTT